TTAATTTCAAAGAAGTTCCCGAAGCCCTTTGATTTTTGCGCAACTCATCCGCCGCTACAACACTATGTTTGAAATAAGTTACTATTGATTTGACTTTATCAATTAGTACTTTTAAATCTGACAATTTCTCAAACATTTTAGCGGGAATAAGATTTATTGAATGCGCCAAACATGCAACGTGTTTATCTTTACCAAAAACTATTTCCAATGCTTTTACTATGTTTGCAGCATTATCTGTTATTATGGCATGAATTTTAGATAATGGAATATTCCAACTTGTACAAATATTATTTAAAACCGTTCCTAAATACATTGCGGTATGTCTTTCGTCTAATTCATATATCCTTATTGACACGGAAGTTAGTTCGCCTTGAAACAAAAAGTGGGCAGTTATGCTCAAAAAACTAACCGTATTCAGGACTTCGGTCCACACATCGCAGGTTAAGGTGATCGTAGTTACAGTCGCTATTTTTTTCTTAATGAGCGACTTCATACTTCTCATCTAATAATTCCGTGATTTGTTTGCGAGCAGGAATTTTGTAGAGAGGAGCAATAAGTTTCAAGATATGATGAAAACCGTCTTTCTCGACCGTGTTCAATGACAGATTATCTTTTGCAATCATGAACAGAAGAGCATTAATAATTTTTGCTGCTCTAGCACCTCTATCTGTAAAATAATTAATAAGTAATATTATTATTATTATTGTTTATAAGTATATGAGAGTAAAAAATATCCAAAATTAATAAATATTTTGAAAAAGGTGGCAGTTAGAAATCTGATCGCATCCAAGACTTCGGTACTATTTTCTTTACAAATTTAAGTAATATTAAAGTAAAATTAAATATTAAAGTAATATTAAAGTTGCAAATAATTTACCTTCAAAAGATTTAATCTTTTTTATTACAGAATTAATACATGATTGTGATTTTTTGCGTGTTTCAGACTTTAATGTCTTTGACGCAGTAGTAACCTGTATAAATTTAAATTTTATTATAGTACAAGTAAAATTATTCTTTAAACAGTTCAATGCGTAATTACAATTATTACCTTTTCTACTTCTATTATCGGTGATTGTACAATTTTTATACTTATACTAGGAGCAGCATCCGTACTTGTACTAGAAGTAGCATCCGTATTTGTACTGGGAATAGCATCCGTACGTATACTGGGAATAGCATCCGTAATGTCCTCTTGAGTCTGGAGAAATGAATTCCAAGATATCAGCTTTGCAATCATGTATACTAATTTAAAACATGAAAAAGTAATATTTGTCTTTGAATTATACTTACACATAGATCGTCAACAATAATCTCATTAAAATCAGGCATATCTGTTGTTGAGTCAATTGTGACTTATATTGATCGTTAGTTGTATTTATCATTATTTCTTTGTGGTGTCTTAACAAATGATTACGAAGGTTAGTGGTATTGCCACTACAAGAAACTTCCCTTTGGCATATTTTACAAATACCTATATTTAAACTTTTCACAAAATATTGCCACGCACCGCTTCTTCTGACTTTACCCATTTCAAATGGTCTTTCTTCATGTAATCTACAATTTGTACTTTATCACTGATGTGGATATCGTTACTTTTGTCGTTATTCTTTCTGCTGAATGCAGCCATACTTTGGTTAGACAATGGCTGCGTTTAGCAGACTCAACAGTATTGCAACCGTTTTATGATTCTCTGCGCTGATTGGATCATACTTTTAGATCTAGAAGAATAGTCCTATCTCAGCAGAGAATCATAAAACGGTTACAAAACTGTTGAGTCTGTTGAACGTAGCCAATTGTGTTCAACAAATTCAACTGTTGAGGAACGAATCCATAAAGGTGCATAAAAAATATTTTTTACGCCACTGTAAAAATCGTCTCGTTGATTGGTTGCTGCTTCCGCTGCTTGATGCTTGACGCTTGCATGTGAATGCACCTTAAGTGCTCGCTGCTATTGGTGTATTCTTCTAGATCATTCACAAAAGCAGTGCTCACGGATCCGTAGCAATGTAACGGAGCGTTTATATTGGCCGTAATCGTATGCCGTAATTTGTAAAAATTGACTGATCATATTTGAGTATTCTCTTCTTACAGTCGAATGACAGGGGAATGCTCGACTGTGATTAGTTAATTCTTACAGATTACGACATACGGTTACGACCAATATAAACGCTCCCTAACAGTTGAATCTGCTGAACGCGACCATTATAAAGACTCTAGGGACTGAATCCATAGACGTTGCTCAAGATTCGAGAGGGTCTTAAGTAGAGTCCTAGATTTATCAGAGAGGCGCAACCGGTGTTACGCATTTTGATTAGCTGTTGCAATCATATGACTTGGCAACCATTTATAGTACTAATGACATATTTCTATTTCATTTTATCCTATACATTATATCTCACTCTATCTCATTCTTGCTCTTGAACAGTATCTATGCTGACTAAATTGTGATTACTGATATTATACAGAAAGCCTGATTACTTGTTCGTTAACAGTAGATATATATGCTTCACAATTATCATTTTTTTCAATGTTTCTTGATTCTAAGAACATTAGTCTTAAGCTAGTGTATGAACCAATATTAGCATCTTAAGACCTTGCTTGAGATTACTATAAGAACTATGGATTCCGGCCTAAGTGCTGATAGGCCAGAATCAGACTACGCATTGAAGATTGAGATTGAAGATTGAAAGATTGAAATTTAACCAATAAAAACAATAGGAACTAAAATTTCTTTGCCCTCATTGGTCAAATTTCAATCTTCAATCTTCGATCTCAATCTTCAATGCGTAGTCTGATTCCGGCCATAGTGCTCTCTGCGCATTTTCCAAAGAGTTAATCCTGACAGCCCTTTATTAGTACATTCACCACATCCATTTTCAACACTATGATTTTATCGACAGCTTCGCAAAATAGACATGGTTCCCATATAGCAAAAATGGACGTTGGTGCGCTGATATAAATGTTACACAAAAAATGACCACTCTCAGGATAATGATCAGGTAACTTTTTCTTTAGAGCGGAAACGTAAAAAATGAAAATTTTTATGTATATGTGCATCTACATATACACTCATGTATACTAAAAATACAATAAAAAAAATGTTCACTTTTCATGTTTCCGCCCCAGGAAAAAAATAACATGACCGCTACCCAGGTTGCTCTCTGATCTCCTACATAAAATCGATCTTTGGTCTAAAGAATCGAATTACAGGATTAATCGAAGCAATAAAATCGAACTAAAAAATCGATTAATCGATATAAAAGAATCAATTCCTCAGAAAATCGAATCGGGATCGCCCATCCCTAGTGATGCCGATTCTTAAAAAAAAAGATCGATTTTCGGAATCGATCAATTCTTTTAAGTTTGATTTTAACAATCGATTAATCGGATAAAAAAGGATCGATTCCGAATAATCGATTTTCTCGATTCTTTTCCCAGCAACCAATTATTTAAAAAAAAAAAGACTTTCAAATTCTTTTTTGTATCACCTTACAAATTGGGTTTAAATGAATTATAAAAATAATGGTATTTATATTATAAATAATATATTATATAGAAGAGGCTTCTTACATTGTATTATAGACATACGTATTAACTTACATATATTTTTAATGGACTTAAGTCTAAAGCCCATGGCACTTACAAAAACATAATGCGTCGTCTACAATGGGCAGTAGCAGTAGTGAATTAAAGAGTCGGCGTAGAACCAATGATAGTTAATTATTTTCCTTACATTTGATTACGATTTGTTGATTTCTACGCCTACTCTTTAACCCACTACTGCTACTGCCCATTGTAGACGACGCATAAGTCAGTAAGACGTAGTAGTAATCGCATCAGCTAATCACAACAGAGAATGTAAAGTAACTCTATCGTGATTGCTTACTGCTACATCTTACTGTCTTAAGTTTTTATATGTCTCTGACTTGAATCACAGTCAATAAAAATTGCATTGTGCTCTTTATAAGCGCGGTGATCACATTTAAATTGCCTCACATTTAAATTATTCCTTGAGAATAATTAACTTAAAATAAAATAATGTTTTAAATCCTTAATTATTATAAAGTTTGTTTGAACCTTATTTATCCTACATCACAGTTCCCAATATTTATTCTTTAAAGAATTGAGAAAAATCAGCGTTGAGACTCGATTGCTAGATAAAAGCGCGGTGATCACATTTAAATTGCCTCACATTTAAATTATTCCTTGAGAATAATTAACTTAAAATAAAATAATGTTTTAAATCCTTAATTATTATAAAGTTTGTTTGAACCTTATTTTTCCTACATCACAGTTCCCAATATTTATTCTTTAAAGAATTGAGAAAAATCAGCGTTGAGACTCGATTGCTAGATAACCTACTACGCTTTTCGGAAATAATGTTTCCCGCGGTGCTGTACAGTCTTTCAGATGAGACCGATGTTTCTAAAACTAATAGGAATTTTCTTGCAATTTTAAACAGACTGGTATACGTACTTTAATTTTTCCCATTCTTGTAGAGGATCCGTTTCTCGAAGTGACACAGCAGTGTTTAAAAACTGTCAAAGTTCAATGGGAATACCCGCTGAATCATCTCCACAGTTTTTAGCATTGTTATTATACACTAATTCATCATGAAAATTCCACACAGACAAAATACCACTTTTTAAGGGGGGTTCTAAACAATCCACTTGATTTTCTTTATCTTCAACATTAGTTTTTCGTTTCATTAAATTTGATACTTTTGTGATCGCCTTCGTACAATCTACGATACTCGTGAAGTGTAATTTTTTAAAACGCGGATCTAATAAAGTTGCTATGCTAAAAAAATAATTTTTTTCTATGGATGCTTGATTGGAATTCTCTTTCCCATAGAATCGCATATTTACCTGATCTAGAATGTTAATTTTTCAATTTTTCTGCAATTGCATTACATGGATCTAAACGACTTATTATATTATTTAAACAATGAACAATCGGAATAACTTTACTTCCGGTAACATACTTTTCACCTGACATTTCTACGTTACGGATTCTATGGGAGAGAGAATTTTAAGTGATTCTTTGATGCATGTTATATCGGAGTGAGATAACATTTGCAAGTCTGAATATTTGAACAGGACAGTACTAATAAATTCAGATAGTTTGCAAAATCTTTCCAACATATAAAACATTGAGTTCCACCGAGTTTCAGATTCTTGAATCACTTTATTAAGATGTTCACCGTTGGGATTCGTTTTCATCTGAAGCGCTCTTAACTCATCGGCTGCTTTTACCGATCGTTTAAGAAAAGTTACAATCTCTTTTACTTTTGCCACAACATTTTTAAATTCAGGAGTTAATTTAATTGCATCCCCAACTACTAGATTGAGCTGATGTGCAAAGCACGGCAAATGTTGTCCAAATGTATCGCGTGCAGCTTTCACTATATTAGCAGCACTATCTGTAATCATTACCATTACTTTATTCAGATCGATGTTCCATTCATGACAAAATGATTTTATAATTTCCGATAAATAGATGGCATTGTGAGCTTCTTCTAGAAGACGAATTCCAAGATTAATAGATTCAATTTCTATACCGTCAATAAAATGTGCAGTAAGGCATATATAGCTTTTGCTATTGTACTTGTCCGTCCAAATATCCGATGTCAGCACAATGTTATCAATCTCTGTCAATTTGTCTCTTACAATCGAACTTAGCGCGACAAATTTCTCATCAATGCGACTTGTAATTGTCATCCTACTTGGAACAGTGTATAACGGCGCAACAACTTCGAATAATCGTTGAAAACCTTTATCCTCTACGATGGATAGTGGCTGTAAGTCCTTGGAAATCATAAATGTGATAGCGTTTGTGATTTGTCCTGATTTACTACCACCATCTGTAACACGGATTTTGGTTTATTACATTAAACTCAATTAAAATGTTTTAATTTGATTCAAATTTATCAGATCTAATTAAAATGTATTAAGTACAGTATCGAATTTAGTTATAAATCAACACTGAGAGTTATTTACCCTTTAATTTACCAAAAATAGTATGAAAAGAAAGAAATTTAAAAATAATGAATTTAAACTTTCTTTTAGAAAAAATTGTTGTAAAAAAAGTTAGTCACTCGAAAACTTGTTGTTTCTATTAAAAATAGATTAGTGTTAATTCTAACATATTTTAATCTTGTGTTCATTTTTAATATAAAATATAGTATGATAATATAAGATTCCTACTCTCAATGTTGACTACTATCTCAATGTTGACCACTCAAATTGCTTTTCTTTTTGACATTAGTAATAAACAAGAATCAGTAAAATTAAGTGTAGACATTAAATTCATATATATTTTAGTAATTACAATGTTTATTCTGATATAAAGAGAAAAAATTTTTATTCTTTAATTAGAAATTTGTTTATTACAAAAAAACATTAAACAATTTACCATTATATTCACTTATCCTCGAAAAAGCCTTTTTAATCGGAACTTGCTTTTGTGTTAAAGTCTGTGTTTTCATATTAGTTGTATCACTTTCAACAATCTGCAGACTGCATGACCAAGAATCAGAATTAGGATTATCGATGACATGATTATTTTCAGATGTATCTTTTTGTTGAGTTATTACAGCTTTATGCTTTCGCTTCAGGTGGTTTTTTAAGTTTGTCGTATTGTTGTGATGTTTGTAAATATTATTGCACAACGTGCAACGCTTTGATATTACATCATGAAAAATGAAATACTGTTTAATCAAGTCCTTATCAGATTTAGATGCCACTTTATTGGCAATATTTTTTGAAATAGTGCCAGTTGACATTGTCAGTTTTTTACTTCCTCTGGACCTGCAGTTTACAAAGATAATATAAAGATAATATCAAGAACTTCTAAAAATTTAATATTTAAAATGATTTAAACTTGTACTGGATATATGGGACGTATATATAATAACATTCACACACAACAGCATTCCGTAATTTACTGCAAATATACATAATGTAAACTATATAGATTTTCAGTATTTGCAGTGAATAACGGAATACAGCTAATAACTTTTTATGACTTACGTTTTTCTCTGCTATTTCATTCTTGACATACTCTGTAAACATAACCGTTTTGTTCTCTATCTCTGCCATGCTAGTCTTAAGCCTGATTTATAATGGTCGTAACCGTTAACTTATGCCGGTGCCGATAAAGTTCAACCATAGAATTTCAATGCTTTCGTTCATACTAA